TTGTGTGCGACATCACTCCTAGTGTGTTAGTCTATGAGCTGCATGATACTGCGGACGACTACACTCTACATCTTTGGGACGTCTAGGATTTAGGCGAGTACTGTTTGTGGACGTAGTCCAACCTTGTGACATTCATATGTAACGATACACACTTTTGACGAGGATTACAGAGAATCGTATATTTGTTTCTGTGCCACCTACCCGAAAGTAGTATGAGATATTGTGCTTGACACGCATGACATGTTCTGGATGAAGTGTTGATTAGGTATTTATGTATTACTTATTTATAGGATTTGGAGTTGACATTTAGTGACTCACAATTTGAGATACATGTTATATATATGAGGGTTTCCTTGTTTGGATTATTCTCTCGACGTACTTACCTCGTGTTGTGAGTTCCTAAATCTTAACTCCTCTTGCTACTAGATATATCATACATATATATATGCATATACATATGCATACATGTTATGTGTAGTATTGTTTTATAGGTGACCCATTCCCCCTGGGGGCGGAGGGAGATGTTCTTGCTAGTGCTCTGATGCTCGTTGTTTCCATCTTTTTCAGGTAGCGGGTCAGGGATTTGGAGAGCCGTAAGTTGATGCAGGCTCGGTATAGTTTATCATCATTTATAAGTAGCTAGTTGGTGCTTCAAAGTAGACTATTTTTTTTTTAATCTTCTAGAAATGTATTTCATGTTCGAGGCTGAGCGTTTATGTACTGTTCAGTTGACTCTTATATGTTAGAGACTCATTATTCTTATTTTAGTTTATCAGATGTACTTTTAGTTTATTCTGTCGATACGTGTTTATAGATACTATTGGATATCTCTTCTCTACATTTTGTTCCTTGTAATTTCATTCTTTATATCTGCTTGTACCATCACTGTTTTTTTTTATTTTTTTTTTATTGGATATCTCTTCTCTACATTTTTTTTTTTTTTTGACTTCTGCTAGAGTGATAGTGATAATGAAACGTGTTTATGCACAATATTGGGTGCATGACAGTTTTGGCATCTTTAGGTTCACTTGTACTGTAGTCATGTGTGAAACTAGGGGTGTCACAAAAGGACTGAAAATCCATAATTCGATAAATTCCATATTGAATATTTTCATTAAATGACATGAAATATAACTTTTGGGGTACACTTTGTTACACTTGAATTTGAATTTGAAACATGTGTTTTAAGAAAACTGATTCTCTCCCTTAACCTCTATTATTTATTTATTTATTTATTTAATTTTTGATAGAATTAACCTCTTTTCTAAATCAAATGCAATAGCTAAAACTAGTTCATGTGACATATAAGCCGTATAGCAACTCAAAAATTATCAAGAATGACAACAATTAAGGTCCAAGTCTCCAATAACTCGAGGCGCATTATGGTTTATTTGTTTTTCCAAGGGACATGAAGCGATCTGTTCATCCTCAGTTCTCTCCAGGAATATAGCTATACAAACGTCAATATAATCAAATAACAATCTCAGTTCTCACCAGGAATTTAGATATACAAATGTCAATATAATTATAACATATTAAACAATACAATCTCAGTTCTCACCAGGAATTTAGATATACAAATGTCAATATAATTATAACATATTAAACAATACATGAACTCGTAAAGAAAAGGCAAATACGTCCAACATTTTTCTTACCAACATAAACCCAAAAAATTGTAGATATATTCTATAGCATTTTCTCTGCACCCCTCTGTTTTTTGTACTTCACGTTCTAAAGAAGTAACGATTTATCTGTTATTAACAAGATGGAACACCACAGACCAAATAAACAGAAAAACAACCATCTCCTATTACAGAATCGACTTGACACATACAAGGGTTTAACATGCAATCCACCCAAAGCCCTAATTTAAAACATGACATATACAACGATAGCATATAAACTTGCCTTGTTATTTCCATAAGCCAAGCCAAACTAACACACTGGAATAAACTGACTAAACACACATCAACTGACTAAAAGAAACCATATCTTAGAATCCTCCCTTTTTTTTTCTTCACAGTCCTCTCCTTCTTCGTCTCCTCTCCATCCTGACTTCATGTCTCAATGTCAGTGTCCTACATGCGTTATTTAACATCAATTAGCCCACATCACAATATAAACAAAGAAAACATTAACAAATTCTGTATTAAAAGAAACATGTCACATAATTGGATAACTACCAGTTATATTTCATCAACCAGCATTGTAACGAGGGGAAGAACCCATTTTTGTACTCTCTTTGAAATCCTATGTACAGATAGTTAGATATCGTAGTTGTTATCAATCAACAAGTAAGCTATAATGGTAATAGCCTGAGGCAATTAGCTCTGGGGCTGCATATTAGCTCAAGTCAAGGATCAAACCCACCTCAATATCAGCAATGGTCAAATTAGTCAAATTAGTTGTTAATTAAGTAACATCAAATTATAGAAGTTCAAAAGTATCTCATTAGCTTGTCCAGGGGCTCTATGCCAGAAAGCCACTCATCACCCACCTAGCAAAAATTTTATTGTTCTGCGCATTAAAGAGAACAAATGAGCTTGCCTTCTCATTTTCTTACAGCCATCAGTGGTCAATCACTCTTTTCTTGATTTCTTAACGGCTAAACTACCAAATTGGTATTTTTATTCGACCTTGTTTGCTAGTTTGGTATACTTATAAACTCCGGCGACAACAATGTATTTTTTTTCTCGGCCTTTTAGTCAATAAGACCCTTTTCCTTGAAATTGCGGCAGGAAAATTTATTCTACCTCCCTAACCTCTCAAAATATTAAATCTATGCCCAAAATTATCAAAAATATGCATTCCCTCCCTCTCCCTCTCCTCCTCCCTTCCCATTCCCCTCCCCTCCCTCTCCTCCACCTCCCCTTCCCTCTCCACCAGGATAAAATGCTCGAGCACTCATTACTCGAGAATCTTGCTTGGTTGACAAAATTTGAGTTGCAATAGCAAACAGTATAGCAAAATTTTCTATTTCAATATTTGGTTAGCAACATGATAGCCGGAAATAATAATTAGACTTCCATTTTGCAGAGAAGAAATGCATCACATGCTGCTGCAATCAATTTGGCTGCAAGAAACTGCTTTGACAACATGCAGTAAAA